CCCCCCCCCGTTTGGATCCCTATCTCTATGTTCTAAGGTCTTTTCTTCCTGACAAACCTCCATTCCTCCAATGACTTCATCAACAGAAACACAAAGGGGAATATGGGGATTGGGTTAATTCTGGGCACCAAATCAGCACTCCTCTCCAGTTGAGCCGGAGGATTTTTAGATATCATACCTGATGGTTCAGAAACCTTTTTGAGTGTTTTCTTTTGGTGGGATGTGTTGTTGCTGAACATTAGGTTGTTTAGTAATATACACTACTTGTTGCTTTTTGGTGTTGTTCTGTGTATTTCCTTTGGATCTTCTATTTTTCTGAGTTTTCCATTCTTCTTGTAGAGGGTCTGCCCCTAAAATCTAGTGGTCCTCCTTATCTTGTGCTTGATCTTTTTGGTGCCTGGCCTGCTGTTGGTGTTCAGGAATTTGTTTTTGCTGATTATCCTGGGTTTGTTATTTTGGTAGTTGTTGTGGTTGTTGTGTCTATGTTGTGGTTTTTTCCTGTTGTATGTTTTGCTCTTTGGTTGTTGCATTGCTTTCCTCTTCTGTATCTCTTCATGCTTGGCTTTTTCTGGACATGCATGAGTTGCATGATCAAGGTGTCTACAATATAGGCAGTAATCACGGATGCTCTCATATTTTATCTCCAACCATTGCCATCACCATTTTCATCTTGGTTATCATCATAGCCCAGCCACACATGTTGAGGTATGTCTTTTGTAAGATCAAGTTGCATTTTAACATTAGCAACACTGCCTCTTGTTTTTTTAAAAGATGCCAAGTCTAGGAAGAGGGCCTTGCCCACATGAGACAGTAGTGGATTGAGGATCTCCATATAGTAAAGGTGCCAAGGCAGCTTGAAGTTTTAAGCGTCAATACCACACAAAAGGGGGGGTGATTTGTGTGGTACTCAATTTTCGCTCTTGAAGAACCTGGTTCTTCTAGATGTTCGAACTACTACTGTTTGCGGAATTAAGAGTACATAAAATAAAGAACACGGAGATTTTTACGTGGAAAACACCTAGCTCAACCGGTGAAAAAACCAAGACCTACTACTCAGTAGGATTTTCCCAAACTTCCACTAAAATCACTAAGCCAAAACAGCATTTACAAAACTCTTTATAAACCTAAGGATTAACTCTACTCCCGTTGTGGCAACCAGCCTCTAACTGCTGCGACAACTTCAAGTTAAATTCTAACTTGAATACTCAAAGTACCTATTACAATTGCTTCTAGATAAAGCTGAAAGATACAATATGAAAAGACCTACTACAATTGAATTAGAAATAAAGAAAGACACATAAAACTCTTTATGGAGCTGGTTCTTCAATCTGGTTCATGTAGCTTCAGGTTTGCACACTTGAATGACACACGAACTGCTTGCAAAAAGCCTTGCTATTTTGCTCTCAATTCACGTTTAACTTCTGCGTTTTTGTGCAACCCTTTAATGTGAAAACATCCTGCAATTGATAGAGTTAGTAGATGAAGAAATAACTAGAGTTCTGATGCAACTCTTCCTTGGTGGAAGAGTTCTACTTGATTTCAACTTCTAACTCCTTCCCTATCTTGGATAGTGTTCTCTTTGAGTAAGGACTCCTTCTCCTTATCAATTATGCAACCTTTTCAATTGGGAGATATTAAATACACCAAGTTAAGCTTATCTCCTTCACGTGCAACCCACATGCTCTCATCTGGCCGTTATTATGCACCTGAGTGATGGACCTGGTTCATCTTGAGTTCCTTTGTCAGTCTTCAAAACTAACCTTTAATTGGGCCAACACAACTCAAGAATAACAATCCATACTGGCACAATTGGGGAATCTTCGTTGGGACTGAAAAGAGGTGTCCAAGCTTCAATTTGCATCATTTTTCCTTGAATGTACATGAATTGCTTGTTCCACACAGTTGCATGATCATATTCATTGTCTAGATCAATGTAGACAGTCTTTAAATTGAAATGAGCAATTTTGACTTCTCCTTTGAGCTCTGTTTGGTTTACAAAACTTCTTCCGATGACATCCATTCTAGGCATAGTATTAGAAAATCTCCCTACCACGGTATACTTGCACCTAGTAGCCATAGTGCCCATGTAGTCTTCTCTTTTGAAAACCACTGCAGGTCTTCCTTGTTTGGGGGTGAGCTTTGGAGGGGTGAAATTGATTGGTGTTCTTTCTGCTTCAAATCTGGCCCTGATCTTTGTAACATAGGAGTGGTAACTGTTAGAAGAGTTGACTCAGTGGTGTTTGGGGTTTTTTTGGCTTGGTCTTTGGATCCTGAAGGTTCAGGAATATCTTTGTTTGCATTGGGGATTAATGAAACAATAGCTAGTATTTGTGAAGTTATGTTTGGTGGGCTTGTTTTCCTAGTAGGTTGATCATAATTGGTAGAGACCTTAGTTTGGTTATTTGCTGACTTATGAGGATTAAAT